AAAAAACACATGCAGTACACTTTCATGATAAAAAAAAACAGCTAGCGAATATAGACATTGAAATTGGCAATTATTAAATAAACAAGGTATCATATGTGAACTTTATGAGTCTATATGGCGATGAGTGTCATTGTGAGGCAGTCGTTTTAAATATGGATTCTGTGATTTAGATGCTTCGTAATCTTAAATTTGTTTTTACTCATGACCAGTTGACTATGCTAAACTTTGCTCATGCAGAATCTCCCTTGTCAATGAGCAATGTCATCAAAATTCAATGATGTTTTCATCTCCCAAAAAAAATAATTCTTTATATTGCTAGTGTATCGAGAACAACCAGTTGTAAGAATTATTTTAAAATTCAAAACCTCAACTCTGCCATGTGTGTTTATTTTTGAAGTCTGTATATATGTCTGTATATATGATACATTTTAAAACTGATGCATTCAGTCAGTACAAAACAACATGATGATCAACATGTATCTTTTTCAAAAAAAAATGTCCTCCATCTATAATTGGCCAAAGGATTTTCAATAAATCACCATTGACTATGAAATCTATTCCTGAACTGAAATTATACAAATTAGCATTGACAGAATTTTTATTGAATCAAGTTTTTCATTTCGTAGAACATCTTTTACACTGACTTCAGACTTTCCAGATATATGTATGTTCCTCTTTTGTGATATGAATGTTGTAGAATCAAATTGAAGCTAGGTATTACTTTACATTTAGGACACTGACTAATCCTATACAAATTATTTTGTCATAAAGCAAATAAAGTATGACTTACTTACTACTTACTCACTTCATATAGCTAATGATTACTTACTGTTTCAGAGGAATATCGTCAAGAATAGCAGTTGCGATGTGGTGGTTTTTCTCGCTCATCATGACTAGTTCTTACACAGCTAATCTTGCAGCTTTTTTGACCAAAGCCAATTCAGAACCACCAATCGATGGAGCTGAAGCTCTCTCTAAGCAAACTAAAATAAAATATGGCCTTTTAACAGGAGGATCCACTGAGTCTTTTTTCCGCAACTCAAATTTCTCCACTTACCAAAGGATGTGGTTGAATATGCAACAATTCAGGCCCAGTGTTTTTGAAGACACTAACCAACGTGGCGTTGTTAGAGTTAACACCACAAAAAATTCCCTGTACGCTTTTTTGATGGAGTCCACACAAATTGAGTATGAGATTGAAACTAACTGTCACTTGAAACAAATTGGGGATTGGTTGGATTCTAAAAGTTACGGCATAGCAATGCCAATGAGTAAGCAATTGTTTTCAGAAGAATTATGATTTATATCTCTCATATAAGATTCTCCTTACAGGGGTGCTATAAATATGGCAGTGTTGACCATGCAGGAATCGGGAGCACTCGCAGAACTCAAACAAAAATGGTGGAAAAAAATGAGAAAAGAACCATCCTGTGATTCAGTGAGTAGTTAATAATAATGATAATGATAATAAGTATGCAGGGATGCTCACTAACATCCTTGGCCTTCGGTACCAGCTGTGAGTCCACAGGGCTAACCACTCAGTAGACTCAAATCTTGGTTCCTGGTAATCGAAGAAGGGGCCCGCTCGGAGGTGACAGAGGATAGGTGGTGGGTCACAAAACGATGATTTGCCTACCGATGACAACCCTGGCAATGTCAATGGACGCTTTGAGTGGACGCATGAGCTAAGAGATAGCCTTATGCATTGCTACGAGAGTAGTGAGCCTGAGCGAAGAGGGTACATGGCGAGAATGCATGCTCTGTGGTTTGAAACACATCTGGAGCATGCCGCCTTTTCCGCCCAAAATCTTAGGGATTACGTATTCTATATAGCTCCTTCCCATCCTGCTAACGAAGTGGTAAGTGATAGTTTTACCACCCGTTGGCACGGCTGGAGAGGAGATTCGCATCATGCCACCAATGTTGTCAATCGGAACACGCAGGGTGTTCCACAGGCCCCTAAAGCTGGCTTGTTTGGATGCGGAGGTTCATAGTGTTCTAACAGAAGAGGCTGACATCTGGCAAATCAACACCGCCGTGTATAGCGTCGTCCAATCGCTTTCCGAATCATAAGGACGAAATCCCGGCCATGCGATTCGGAAGATCGAATGGCGTGTACACGAGATTGAGGCTAAGATCATGTCGGCGAGACAACACGCGTCTCGTATCCAATGTGTGATAGATTACAGGGCGACCAACAGGTCTTTTACGCCTGCAGTGCGGCGAATAGCCGCCAAACTACGATGAAACCGTCACATTTTGAGTCAAGGCGTGCTGCTGACCATCAAACAGCACTGCCTTGATAGGATACGAATGCTAATGGCTGCTAAGAAGTCACTAGTGAGGCAAGCGAGAAGTATCGCAAAAAACCTTGGGTTTGTGGATAATTCGCCTGCCGCTGATCAGGTGGAATCCTTCTGGAAGGATAAATATGAATACCCGCAGCCACTCAACTTAGACACTCCAGCCCTAGCGCAGTTCGAAGCTTTCAACGGAGAGCTTGAGCTCAATGATCCTGAGCTCAATGAAGCGCAACCTGAGCTCAATGAACTGCGCATCTCGACAACCCCGAATGACGTTCGAAGAGCCCTTGTGGGTTCTAAGAATTTTGCTGCTCCAGGCCCAGATTTTTTCTTTGAACTCCGCAGACTCTATCCAGTCCACTCTGTCAAGATGGTTGTTCGGATTATTGGAGTCCTTGGTGGTGTGATGCCCTCTCTACTCTCGAATCTTAAAATCATACCGGGGTACCGCACTAACTAACATTTTTTTCTTCTTATCATCTAAGCTTTGCAACCTAATAGGACTCTATCACGCTCGAATAAATCCCCATTTTGCATCGTGGACTCCCCTGCTATAATAATGACCAGATTCAATGCCAGAACCACAGTGAACAATGACTGCATGAAGATTATAATAGTGGTCTGCTAGATTGAAGTGTTCATCTATTTCAAACCTTCGTAAGAGTTCTGCTTCCGTCAGAGGTTGAGTCATGTTTGGAGATTATCGGGGTTATTATTAGATTGACTGGTGCCTCAGCTATACTTGTTTTCTTATAACAGTTGGTTTGGCAATGCAGTCGATCATCACCTGTTGAAAGTTCCATTTTCAGATTATTTAACAATAAGCCTTGCACGAACTGGTTATTAGTCATATTAGGAAACGCTAGTTGAAGTTCCAGAAATTCACATACGTTTTTGCTACCTCTTGAACATTTACTACAAAGTAAACAAGTAAGGAGTTTTCCAGCAAAAGATTTACAAACACAAGACGAGATAGACTGTATGGAATTATTCAATCCAGAGCGGTCAGGAGTATTGATTCTGCTATTGTTTTGCACACGAAGAGTATTCATCAAGAACCCTAACAATTTGGAACAATCCTCTTGTTTTCCTGAAGAGTATCTAGTAGACTTCAAAACCTCCAGAAAATCGGTTGGAGGGAAAGATGATTCATTCTTACGAAACTGAACAGGTGTTTGAGTTTGGTGAATAGGTAGGAAACATTCCCGTTCTCGTTCATCATTAAAACCTCGTTCNATAATTCGCATTGTTGAGAATGGAAAAATAAATTTAAAAAAATATATGATTTTCCACCACAATTCGGTGTGGATTCTTCTTACCGAATACCACGTAAGGACAAATTAATATCCGGAAATTTTTTGTCGCTCATGAATATTTTTAGAAAATATTTTCGAAATATTCATGAGCTCGAAAAAATTTCCGGAAATAATTTGACCTCTAGTGGTATTTATTACTAGTGAAAACATTATTGAGTGTCAATATTGCATTTTCTATTTCAGATGGATGCCGGTGAAGATGAAGACTCAGGCAAGTTGGCCTTGGCAAATGTTGGTGGTGTTTTCTTAGTGTTATATATTGGATTAGCTTTGGCATGTTTTATATCGTCAATAGAGTTTTTATGGAATGTGAGGAACGTCTCAGTGGAGGAACACGTAAGAATTATTAGTTTTTACTGCAGACCGCAAGCCCATGCTGAACTTATAGGAGGTCATTTGATACCTCTGGAAAATAATTTCTAAAGTATTGGAGTTGAAAATGAGTTTCAGCTTCATGCCTTCAGTTGTAGGGGGGCATGTGAAAATCTTAGAATAGCGAAAACAATATTCGGGGGTAGGCGAATTTGTCAAAAGTTATTTTCCATATTCAACTACTAATTACGACTTGGATCTTTCCTTAAAAAAAATAGAAAAAAAATCGGTGAAGTGACCTCTATATGCAAAGATTATAAATTCCTGAAGGGAAGCGAGGGGGTTGTTGTAACAATTTTCAGAATAACTGCTAAATTTTGAAATATTTCGCTTAAATTACTAAAAATTAAACTGTAATTGAAACATCAATTCTTCCTCTATTGATTGAAACCGAAAAAATGACAAAATTTCAGGTAATAACTTCACTATTTGCCTTTTTTTTTAATTCCCCGTATTACAACTTACCCTGGGCTTGGGGTTAGTTGTAAGATCCATCGGGGCAAGAATTAACAACAATAAAAATGATGCACTGTTTGGAACCTTTGGTGTAGTAATGCATATTACTGGATTTTTTCTCAACACCAAATCGTTATTTTTAACACCTCGATACGTGTTTCGATCACCAAGTGATCATCTTCGAAGAGGAAGATTAAAACTGTTTTAAAAAACTCCAGTAATATTCAACAATATTTGAACAGAAATATTTGATTGAAAGGTTCATTTTCCAAGAAAAATTAGTTCTTGGGAAAAAAACTTTTTGGCTTTTACTTCTCCAACTCCAACAAATTATACACTTTCATTAGGGAAAAATTTAGCATGGACTCGCGGTCTATTATTATATAATAGTTTTTGAATCTAGTTGATATTTTGGTATGTTTGTACATTTGTACTAACTAATACTACAAATTTGAAAATAAAATGTAGTTTTGCAATATTTTACAATATTTATTTTGAAACAAACTCAACAAGAGTTGACTTATGATGAATACAAAAACAATAATGAATATTTTCGAATATTTTTCGGGTTACTCTAATAATAGGGGTGCCCAAGCAGGGATTTCGGGATTTACTAAAGTGTAGCAGATTGATATACAGGAGGATACCTTATACCCGGTTGAGTAAC